GTCAATTAGTAGAAGATGTTCTTCCTCAGGATACTTTATATGCTACATACATAGACAAACCTAGGATAACAATTAAAACAGCACCTTGTTATGAAGTATACAACTTGCACAACTCTATGGCATGAACATGAATTTTGGAGCTATGAAAACATTTGAAGCCAAAGAGATACAAATTATATTTGTATCTGCGGCTGTTCTCTAATAGATGGATAGAGAACAGTGAGGCTGAAGGCCAAGAGATAAATTAGAAAGCTGTGACTACAGTCCTGGAGAGGGATCCTAAATGCATGAACTCAGGTAGAAATAGTGACAATAAGAGATCAGAACTGAAATGTCAAGAGACAGAAGTGACAGGTCTTGTTTCCATTTGGGTATGGAGAACAGAGATACAGTCAGATTGCTGGCGTGGTCAGCTGGGCGGATAGGATAACATCCATTAGTATAATATACTCATTAACACACAAGGAGACTTAGTAGAGTGGGGTAAGGAAGTTGGATATGATCATTTGAGATGCCCAAGGACACCCAGGTTGAAATAACTATAGGGAAAATAGCGAATATAGATGGTATATTTATATACGCAGCTCCAAAGAGAGATCTGGGGTGATTCAGTGACATTTTGGTTGTGATTTAATGGTACATAAATGGCAGCGGAAACTATGAGAAAACCAAGATACAGCGTAGTCAAGTTGCAACCCGGGAGAGTAGCAATATTTAACAACTTGGAAGAGAAAGGGAAGTCAACAAAAGAGACAGCAAAGAAATGTTTTTGGAAATGGGACAAAACCAGGAGAAAGTGGTACCTGGACACCAAGCAAAGAACAAATTGTAAGGAAAAAAAGAGGATGATCAACAGGAACCAAACGCTCACTACAGAGAAAGCAAACAGGGATGAGGACTGAACAGATCTATTAGAATCTGCAGCCGGGATGTAAACTTTATCAGAGCAAATTCAGTGGCCTAGTGGGGAGGATGGCTAATTGCACTTCACTCCAGAGCAAATGGATGCTGTGATTAAAGGAAGGGCTAAGTACTGAAAGGAAGAGCCCAGCCTCCCTCTGAGAAGAGGAAATGAAGTGCACCTAGATATAGATAGTGTGTAGGCAGGCAGTGTGAAGACGAAGGACTTCACAGATAGGTTCAATCATACCAGGGCAGAAGGCAACTTATCTGCTGAGGCTGAGTCAGTAGTGGTATGGGGGATGGGAGTGTAAGAGGAAGAGTAAATCTCTGGAGATAATTGTTCTGGAGAATGGAAGAGGGAGTTACTCAGGAACACTTTAAACCAGAGTATTAAGCCAGGGTTTCGCTGAAGTATAAAGCTATACTTTTGTAAAAAGATAACCAATACAGAATTTTTTCAGCTGTCATTTAGCTTGGTAAAGGAAAGGAGAAGCCATGGCCATACTGATCCGAGATTGGTAACTTGAAAAGTGGATGGATCTGATGGAAGTGGAAGTTCAAGGGATGAAGACTTAGCTAATCTAGCAAACCTAGAGCATCTTTATATCTAATATGTTCAAAATGAATTCAGCATCTTTCTTCCAGACATAGCTCTTCTAGATGATAAATTCCCTATCTTAGTGAACAGTTCTACGGCCTCTCAGATATAAAGTCATCCTTTACCCCAATCTCTCTCTTACCTTCACATTCAGTCCTATCTATTCCATTTCCTTAATACCATGTCTATATTCTGACTCCACTGTACCTCAGCACAGGTAGCTCCTTCTACAAGGAAGCACCCTACACTGTTTTTCACATCATTCCCACTCATCTTGAATAACTTACTTCATACACCCCCCTCTTGGAAGTCTCCTCTTACATTTCCTTTCCCTCCAATCTGGGTTAGGGGTTCCTGAGAACAGAAAAGGCAGGGTGTATCTCTTTTAAAGCATTAAAAAACTTTATTGTAGTTGCCTATTCTCTTCCCTATACCCACAAGAATAAGTTCCCTGAAGGCAAGTTTCCATCTTTTATTTCAAGCACCCAGTACCTGGCACAGGACTCTTTGCTGAATTCATGGATAATTATAAAAGAAAGCACTAAACAGCAGCATAAAAGAGAGTAAGAGTCCACTACTGTTTAAAATGTCAGGAGGTGATCCACAAAGGAGTATATCAGTGATCCAGAGAAATGATATTTGGTAATAATCACCATGGATTAAACTGCCATCTCTACCAGTCTTTGGTCTGTTATGATAATAGAGTGTCAGTACTACTTCCAGAACACTAGGACTACAGCTCCCATCCTGCAGTGGCCACAAGCATCTACCTGAAAGGGCAACCTCACCTTCGGCTACCCTGTGACTCTGTGAGTAGCAAACAGTGACGTGAAAAACCCCTTCTTGGTCACTGGAGGCCCCTGGGGGAGTCTTTCCTGCCCATGTTCTGCCATGGTTTCCTAGTGATGATTTAGGTCCTAGAACTTAAAAATAGTTGTAGGATATTTTATATTTGTGTTTAAAGAAATAAAATTCCTTTAGAATCTTATCACAACAGATGTCTCATCGTTTTGTTATGAAGAAAAATATTCAGAGAGAAAAGAAATGTAGACACAAGCCATGAGTGTTCATGTGATAGCAGTATCTTTACTCAAATAAGTAACGGATGCCCTGAGTCCTCCCATGGTTAGCATGTGACTCCAATTCCATAAATGTTCCTTTAAGAATGATATTTAAGCAGACTTATTCCATGTGAATGTCTATGCAACAGACAAGCTGTTCCTTAAGTAACTGACATAAATTCTTCTTAACACTAATACACTGTCTTGTGATATTTTAACCGATCATAGACTATCTAGACATTCAATACTTCTTTATTATCAGCAAAATATTGCCACTGTTCTAAAATAATTACCCAAGTCATTTGAGCAAAATCCTTAACCTCTCTAACAGTTCCTCATCTGTTAAATGAGAATAATAATTTTGGCATTCCAGGATTGCTGAACGGATTACAGCTCCTGTATCTCTGTATATAAAGTAACCATCCCTGTGCTTAGCATACAATGTGCTAATCACAAGAAGTTCCTGCTTTTTATTTTCCATAGAATTTTTAATGATCTTGGTGGAGATACTTTGCAATTTAATATTTTCATTTTTGTGGAAACAGAGATAACACACAGAAATCTGGATCACTGAGGGGCACCCGGGTGGCTCAGTCAGTTAAGTGGCCGGCTTCAGCTCAGGTCAGGTCATAATCTCGCAGTTCGTAGGTTTGAGCCCCATGTCCAGCTCTGTGCTGACAGCTCAGAGCCTGGAGTCTGCTTCATATTCTGTGTCTCCCTCTCTCTCTGCCCCTCCCTGACTCACATTCTGTCTCTGTCTCTCTCAAAAATAAATAAGCATTAAAAATTTAAAAAAAATAAATCTGGATCATTCACATACATGTGGGAGGAATGTCTCTCAAGTATATATTCTTCTGTGTACTTATTTGGGGTTATCCACTTCGCTTCTCCATGTACAGACTTCTACTGGATTCAACAGAGTTAAGAATTCAGTTGATTAATTTCACAAATATATAAAAAAGGAAGTATCTGTTCCTTTGAAGCTAGAAATATGCTGTAAAGAAGTTATTCTTATGGGGCTATACTGAATTGGAATTAGATCTAGTGGAGATAAATGGAGATATTTTATTACATATATTCTATTCAGACACTTTTCAATTCTTTTCTCCTAGAAATCATTCTTTGGATTTCCTCAAAATAGATAAGGTTTGTATATCAAACTAGGGATCACATCAATTAAACTATGAACCCATGTTTTCAATGTTAAAAGTTGACCTGTCAAAACACTGCAGTTTAATTTCCTTAGCTTAAGTTAAATTCACACACATAAGCGGACATCAATAATTTTCAGATTAAAATTTTGTTATCAAAATAAATACTGTGCAGAAAGAATTAATGTTTAGCAGGCTGAAATAACTCTCCATAGGAAGGTCTGCTTTCAAGACTGACCCTTGGCTAGCATCTGTGAGCCTAAATTTCTAAAATGTTCCCACGATTCTCTAACCAATAAGAGTGGTTTACCATGACTAAATTGTTTGTGCAAACAATATGGTTTTTGCTGAATACTGAATGCTTTCCTTCTGAGAATTTGGAAATTCAGTATGTGGCATGTAATAGGTGCCTATGGGAGGAGCTCCAATAAAAACCTTGGACACTGAATCTCTAATGAGATTCTCTGGTATATAGTATTTGACCTGTGTTGTAATGATTCCCTGCTGGGGGAATAAAGCCCATTCTGTGTAATCCACTAAGAGAGGACTCTTGGAAACTTACATGTAGTTTCCTTCAGAGGTCGTCCCTTGTGCCTTTTCTTTTACTGATTTTGCTTTGTATAATAAATCATAGCTATGAGTACAAATACACACTAACTCTTATTAGTACTCCTAGAAAATCAGAGAATTTGGGGGTGATTTGGGGACCCCCAACACAGCTACCATAAAATGTCTTTGATCAAAATATCTTCTATTTTTTTCCCATTTTTTTATATTGCCTTTTGTTAATTTCCCTAGGCACACTATTTAGGAATAGAGAAAATAGACTGAATAGTTACAACAGATAATTATTTGCTATCAGAGAATAATCTCACTAGTTAGGAAATGAAAAAAAGTTCACAGCTACTTAATTATAAACCCCTAAACATTTGGTGTTTCTCCTGGATTACAGCCCATGTTTTTAAATACAAATTTTAGATTATTTGCAATAGATTTGGACATTTGCAAATCCTCACCAGGTTACTGATAATTTTAGTAATTTCTTTCTTAGAAATTGATTTCCCTTTGGAGGGTGATAATCAAGCCCAATCATTCTCATTTCAAAATAGAGTATATTAATCCACTTAAAGATGTCTTTTTTTTAGTTTTGAAAAGCATGCATATATTAAACATGCATTTATCCCATGGCATGTCTTCAAATCAAAATCTACCAAAGTGAGAATTCTGAACTCTTTAACCTGCTCTCCAGTACCTCCCAGTAGCATTTCCAATAGTAGAGAAACTTACATTTTTTTGCAGTGTGGGCATTTTGCCAGAGTGTTGAACCTCAGTTCCATCCACTGTAAATAAAAAGAAAAGATTGAAAAGAAAAACAACTGAAAACTATCCAATCTGATAAGATGTTTCTTTTAGTTCAAAGGTTACCAGGGAGCGCAGCAGAAGCAAGCCCCTTCTCAGGGGTTTAGGAGCTTTTCCCCTGCAACACTTCTTCCCCTCCCTTAAAATAAAGTTTGGGATTCTCCTCTGCTACAGTTCCCATGACTTGCCCAAGGCTCTGACGCAATCTAGGTTGGTTTTGCAATGAAAACCGAATATAATGCTGTAATTAAGGTCATTTCTTTCAGCCTTATATCTCAGTTCACTCCCAAGGAATAAAAACACATTTTAGGGACCTTCAAAGATGTTTTGTCTTTAAATCTTGAAGACTGGCTTTTGAAATATATGGATATTTAAATTCATTACTACAGTGCAGCTATTTACAATTTATTTATGTGAGAAACTTACAAAGTAAATAAACGACTGAGACAGAGGGAGAACTCAAGTCAGGCAGCTGCTCTGAGTTCTGTCCATGCTTATTCTATGTAACAAAAACATAGCCTTTCTACAGATCAATTTTCTTTCCTATAAATGTACGTAATAGAATAGGCTATCTTCCTTGTTCCAGAGATCCTTGAAATGGTTTACTGGTAGTGGGTTAAAGTCTTTGAAAGAATGTGCAGTATAAGTTTAAAGTAAATCTTAACTACAAAAATGTATATTTAAAAATGCCCTGGGGCGCCTGGATGGCTCAGTTGGTTAAGCATCCAACTTCGACTCAGGTCATGGTCTGACGGTATGCTGACGGCTGGCTTGAGCCTGGAGCCTGCTTCAGGTTTTGGGTCTCCCTCTCTCTGCCCTTACTCTCTGTAAGTTATACAGCCAGCAACTTAACACATCGGGGTTTTGTCTTCTCCAAGTACTCACTTAAATGCAGCAAACTAAGAACAGAAAAGCATCTATTATTAGAAGTAATTGTGTCATAACCTACTCAAGTGAATGCAAATACTTGTGCTTTTGAAAGGAAGTTGACTTACTACTGTTCTTTTATCTCAAAAGAAGCTTCTGCACTCTTAATTGTATTGCCAGAACTTCAGTAGGGAAAAAATCAAAATTATCTTTCTTCTATCAGAAAGATTAAAGGCAACTTCTCTAAAACTCTAAATCATTTTCAGTGAAGGTCTTCCAATATTTGACTTATTTCTAACAATTCTACATAAAAGGTAAACTTAATTTCCTCAAGATATATTTTTAATCAACCTTAGAAGGCTCATAAGAAAGTTATACTGTTTGACAGTACCTTACTGGATTTTATTTTCTAATAGATACAACAGGCAATTGGTGTCATTACCTTGAAGTACACAAATTAAAACTATTGTTACTCTCTGCTATAGTACTAAACCATAAAGAAAATCTTACCCTGATTGAAGGCACTATAGGCTCCTGTCAGAGTGAAGTCGAACCATCATTTATGATCCAGGCATATACTGTAGTCTGTATTAGTTTTTATAGAGGCATGCCAGCCCCACAGATATTGGTTGACACAGCATCTAGACCTACCTTTCATCAGCAACAGAGAACATCTGCTCCATAGAAATGCAAAACTAAACTCCACTGTTCAGTGTCTTAAGAAACTTCTTTTATTTTCATGCAGGACTAGCTAAAGGCTATGTATTCCCTTTATTCTTCTGGAAAATTGTTTTCGAAGAAATGTCCCTCAAAGGAGTATTCTGACTAGATGATGCCCTCAAAATGATTTAGAGATTTAAAAAAAGTTTATAAATACTACATTAAAACTCCTTCCTGGATATTAACACTGACGCATGTTAAAAATGCTAACGAATACAACTGTAGGGGCGACTGGGTGGTTCAGTCGGTTAAGCAACCATCTGACTCTGATTTCAGCTCAGATGGTAATCTCATGGTTCCTGAGTTTGAGCCCCACCTCCAGCTCAAGGCTGACAGTGCAGAGCCTACTTGGGCTTCTCTTTCTCTCTCTCCCTGTCTCCCTCTCTCCCTCCTTCCCTCCCTTTGCCCCCCCCCAAATAAATAAATAAACTTAAAAAAATGTACCTATAAAAATTTTTTTGTTCAGTTTTTTGTTTATCCCAGCAATTCCTAATGACCATGGAATGGTCATGTAGTCATAAAGCGCCTACTTTTATCCTGCAAAATGACTGTTCTATTGAATATACTTTTTTTTTTTCCAATGTTTTATTTATTTCTGAGAGAGAGAAAGAGACAGCGTGAGGAGGGGAGGGTCAGAGAGAGAGAGAGAGAGATACAGAATCAGAAGCAGGCTCCAGGCTCTGAGCTAGCCATCAGCATAGAGCCCGATGCGGGGCTTGAATCCACAAACTGTGTGATCATGACCTGAGCCTAAGTCAGACGCTTAACCGACTGAACCACCCGGGCGCCCCTTGAATATACTTTTGAAAACACAAATCTAGCTTTCCTAAACATCATCCACGGTTCCAGCCAGGCTGTGAAATAAATAGTGTGAATAGTGTGGATTTGTAGTAAATTTAACTTTAGGATTGTAACACTGATATATTAAAAGATGTTATTATACACAGAAGGTTGTTGAGGACAACAACCATTATATCGTTCTTTTATCTTATCCATGGAAATAATTCTTTTAGGTCACAGTATTCCAATAAACCTTCTATGTGATCTTTTTAAAAAACATCATGAGTATCTTGTAATGGAGCATGTTTTCCTCTTTTTATTGACTCTAGAGGTCTCACAGCTAAAATTCAGACCGATTTTAACAACTGTACAGAATTAAATATTGTGCAGATTTATATTCTCTTATGTATAATTTATCATAATTTTCCTGCCCTTTTTTTCATTGTCCCTAACTTTTTCATATTTCCTTTTCAATGCTATTGAACTTTGTAACTTACTCGATTGTTTCTAAGCCTTGTAAGCCAAGCTGAAACATGGTAGAGAAAAAGTAAATGAATCCTAATAGCTAAAAGCTTGAAGGACAAAGAACATATAACAAAGGATATAAGACTATCTGTGATCAGCATAATAATAAGGGTAAGGCAAAGTTCTTGAGACAGCACTAAGATATTTGCAGTCTATATTTTATAACACTGAGTATCTCTCATTAATCTGAAACTCAAAAGTAACAGCCACACCATAGGTATGTACTATGTACTCTAATCACCAAAAACTTGCTTTCTAGGAATTTTTAAATCATCTTTAAATATCATATATTAATCCAAAACACCCTTTTCTGCTAAATTAAAGTTTTTAATCATATTTATTGTGTTAATATGCTAATATGATTCACTTGCCTATACTAAGTATTAAAAAGAGCTAGTTTTAGAAGTTTGTCTCTGAATTGTACTTTAGCAATTTCTTTTAGTGTGAAAAATGTCTAAATGCATAAAGTACTTTGTAAAGTAATAAAAATCATGTCACAGACATATCTTTTAACCTCTCAGTTTGGATCAGTCTCTAGGATTCATGCCAGATGATTTCAAAAAATTAAATATGAACTTTCTAAGAGTTGGCTTTGATTTCCTTTTTTCCTCATTCCCTTATCTACTCTATTATCAGTATGTTGATTCTCTCTCAAAATCTTTATGCTATTCCCAACCAGCATCATCACTTTTTTTGAGTAATAAAAGCCAAACATTTTGTCTTGTTCCTCTTCAGGCTTGCCTCCATGCAATTTATAACCCATTCTATACGTAACATCCCTGCATGCAGAATTAACTATGAACTCTACTAAAGCTTTCCATTACTCTGAGCATAAAGTCACTCACTCCCTCTAGGCTAGGTACCTCTGCAGGTGTACTAAGAACACTCTCTTATTTTCCACTCTAGCCTAACCCATTTCACATTATTCTTGTTTTCATGATCTTTCTTCTCCAATTAGATTAGAAAACTCCAAGAGGGCAGGGAACGTGCCTTCCTTATGCAGTCCAGGGCCGGGCACGCACTCAGTAATTAGATTTGAACAAAGGAAATCAGCTCACTTATAATGGGGCTATAAGGACTGTCCATGGTAAGGATTTAGAAAATAAAATATAAAATAAATATAAATAATAATTATAAATAAACTGAGCAAAATGCAAATGTAAGGTAATTACGGAGTGACATGACTAATAAGTTGAAAAGAAATTTGTTGGGAAAATCTTTCAAAATATAAATTGTTCACATATAAGAAAGAAATAATAAATATATGTAACATATATTTAACTTAGTCAAATCACTTGATATCTATCAATACCTACAAGAGTATATTTTCCTATATTAAAACACGATATAGTAATTTTCAAAAAGAAATTTGATAACTACTCCCACCAGCTATATCCTCTAATTTATGTACTCAGTCACTGATTTAATGAATAAAATATAACTGTAAGGAAGAAGATTTATCTTCTTCTACAAGATCAGAAATATCCTAGCGATTCTGATTAAATGAAGTAAATCAGATAGATGCATGCATTTCCTACTTCTTTTCCCAAACTTGACTAAAACAGTGGTAAATGAATTTTAAAAAGTGTAATACCATGAGGATAAAGAGGAGAGATGGCCTCAAATCTCTGAACAATGAACGCTGATGGAGCCTGGAGCTGACTTAGGGCAAGGAGTGCTGAAACTTGCCTGTCTGCAGAGATTTGTCAAAGAAAGCTGGTTCAGGTATTGGGGCTACCACGTCCTTTCTGAGGTGGGGGTCCTAGCAGTGATGCAAACATCAGTATCCCCTGTAAACTCTTCCCTCCCCTCCACCAAACTGGAAACCACTCTCTCCCCAGTACATGCAAGAAAAGAGTGATTTATTCTGAAAAGAAACTGGAATAGAGAGCTCGTGAACTTAGAAACACCTGGCATAGCAGAAGGCAAGAATAAAACAAAAGAAAGGAATTAAGTTAAAGTCTATGGTTTGAACAGTGGCTGAGACCTTCACCTCATTACCTTTAACTCCTAAATGTTGTCTCCCAGGCATATCATTCATAAGAAACTGCAGGATTTTTCCCCAGAGAAACTTGCCCTCCAAGCAGACTTCTTGATACTAAGAGTTGACAGTTCTTCAAAAAAAATGGTAAAAGGAAAAAGGAAAAGAAGAGAAAGAGGCAGAAGAAGGAGGAAGGAGAGAAGGAAGGAAGGAAAGGAGAAAGACTTTTTTTTTAAATTTTTTAAATTAATTTAATTAATTTAATTTAATTTAAAAAAATTTAATTTTTTTAATTTTTAAATGTTTATTTATTTTGGAGAGAGAGACAGAGACAGAGCATGAGCAAGGGAGGGACATAGAGAGACGGAGACACAGAATTGAAGCAAGCTCCAGGATCCGAACTGTCAGCACAGAGCAGGAAGCGGGGCTCCAACTCAGGAACTGCTAGGTCATGACCAGAGCCAAAGTTGGATGCTTAACTGACTGAGCCACCCGGGCCTCCCCACCTCCTTTGTTTTTTAAATTTTTTTTAAAGGAGAAAGATCTTAACTCCCACTGCATGAATGGAAGTTCCAATCAGTGACTGACCAGCAAATATAAATGAACTTTTCAGTAAAATCTCTATCACAAAAAAAGAGAAAGTGGGGAGGACACAGAGGCATAAAGAAAACAATACTTCACAAAAAAATAGAACTAATAGTTCAGAAAGATGCCATAGAGAAGAGAATGCTCTTTAGAAAAAGGGAAAATTAACCAGCGAATACAGGGAAAGTCTTTGAAATTAAAAATTAAGTTAGAATCTTTGAAATTAAAATTTTGAATTAAGTTTGAAAGATATAATCAGGGAAGTTTCCCAGTAAGTAAAAGAAAAAGCCAAAACTTGTAAGAATATGTAAAAGAAAGAAAGAAAGAAAGAAAGAAAGAAAGAAAGAAAGAAAGAAAAAGAAAGAAATAGAGCCAACAATTCAGGTGATCTAAAGGGTTCTAGAAAGGGAACAAAGAAAATAGTATAGACTTTGAGAGGGCCCATTGAGTACCCAGACGATGAATTCAAACATATCCTCCCTAAGACACATTCTTTTTCCAAAAACATTTTTTAACTTGAGTACAGTTGACACACAGTGTTATGTGTTTTGAGTGAACAACACAGTGATTCAATTAGTCTATATATTAGGCTAAGCTCACCACAGGTGTAACTACCATCTGTCATCATACCACACTATTAACTACCATTGGCTATATTCTCTCTGCTGTGCCTTTTATTCCATGACATACTCATTCCATTACAGAAGCCTATACACTTCCCACTATCCTTCACCTATTCACACCCTTATGCTGGCAACCATCAGTACGCTCTCTATATTTATGTGTCTGTTTCCACTTTTTATTTGTTTTGTTTTTCAGATTCCACATAAGTGAAATTATATGGTATTTGTCTTTCTAAGTCTGACTTATTTCACTTAGCATAGTACCCTCTAGGTCCATTCATCTTGTCACAAATGGTAAGATCTCATCCTTTCTAAAGGCTGCGTAACATTCCAGCATGTGTGTATGTGTGTGTGTATGTATGTATGTGTACCACATCTTCTTTTTCCATCCTAAGACATATTCTAATGCAATTTCAGAGCACCGGAGAAAATGAAAGAAGAAAGAGGAAAATAAAGAGGAAAAATAGATAGAAAGGACATGGAATTAGGGCAGCAGTTGAACTTCTCATCAACAGTGGAGCAAAGCCTTTTAAATTTTTGAAAGGAAATAATTAGCAACCTATAATTCTAATCTGGACAAACTATAAAGTAAATGTGAGATTAGATTTAAAACTGTTTAAGAAGTAAAAGGTCTCATATTTATTTTCTTACATGTTTACTCAGAAAGTTAAGAGAGGATGTACTTCACCAAAATGAAGGGATAAGCCAAGAGCTGTGAGGAAGCCATGGGATCCAATACAGGAAAAAAAAAAAAAAAAGGAATTCCTAGGATTATATGAAGGAAAATCCCACAATGGCAGCTGTAGAGCAAGAAGCCTCAATAATAGATATCCTGATGTGTCTGACTATATTGATAGGAATTTTATAGTTCTAAAAATCAATATGGGAATAACTAATGATTTGTAATAGAAAATTAAATTCAAAAGGAGAGACGATTATTCTTTTTTTTTTTTTTTAAAGGAATCTCTATCCCCAGTGTGGGGCTCAAACTCATGACCCTGAGATCAAGACTCAGATGCTCTACCGACTGAGCCAGCCAGGTGCCCCAAAAGGAGGACAGACAATTATTAGCAAATACAAAAATATCTGAAAAGTCTTACAGCACCAAAATATAATATATTACTTGGCTCAGCTGTGGACATAATTTACTTCATCATAAAAAATGTAAACACTAAGTATTAATTTAATAAACTATTAAAATTCTACTGGGAACACAGAATCGAGAAAACGACTATGAGTGGGGGAAGGGGTGTTATGAGTGCTAAATCCTCAACCTGCATTGTACAGGTAATAGGTAATATCTAAAATTGCTTAATCAAAAAGCAAAAAGGATAAACAATTTAAACACATGTAGGTAATACCAGCACAGCAGCTGGTAGAGTTGAAAGTATTTGGAGGATGGGTATTTGGACGATCACTTTATAATCCTATTTGACACTGAAATTATATACATGACTAACTCTACTAAAAATAAAAATTAGAAGGAAAAAATGCAAATCACCTACACTTTCTTAAACCTGTTCATCCCTTAGATTATCCCAAGATAGCAGGCTCTGCACTGGAAGACCACTGTGACCTCAGCCCTGCCCAGGCTTATACTCTGGAAGTTTTCATTGATACTTAGGTTCTGAGGAAAATGTTTTGTCTCCTATAAGTGCTGAAAAACAAAAGAAAACCTTCCCGACAGGGCAAGTCATTATGAACTTAACTTTTAAAAATCAAACTTAGGGGTGCCTGGGTGGTTCAGACGGTTCAGCATCATGGTCTTTGGCTCAGGTCATGATCTCACAGTTCTTTGGGTTTGATCCCCACGTTGGGTTCTGTGCTGACAACTCAGAGCCTGGCACCTGCTTCAGATTCTGTGTCTTCTTCTCTCTCTGCCCCCACCCCCCCACTCACACACAGTCTCTCCCTCACTCAAAAATAAATAAATGTTAAAAAAAATTCATTAAAAAAAATCAAATTTGGTGTTAGAGTTAAAAGTTAGTAAAACAAGAACTCTCATAACTACTTACATCTTAGGAACACCAGAGTTAATTCCCTTTACTCCAAGTTTAATTTTTAAAAATCAGAAAAAATTTGATAAATTATAATAAGAATTTTTCTTGAATCTAGAAACCATAAAGCAGGGCCACTGTGTGAAATTGTACACTTTTTGTTCTACTGAGGAGGTGAGGTAAAGGCTAAAATTCAGCCACATGCCAAGACAACCATGTTGCTAAGCCTGGTAAAAAAAAAAAAAAAAAGGGCGCTGTTTCTGGTTAGCCTACCCAGAGGGGCACCTTTTTACCAACAAACCTATCAGAGGATACACCTTCTATCTAATTCATAAAAGATGTAGTATATCCTAGCTATACCTCTGATTAACTGTCCTTCTTAAAAAGGTTTTGTTTTATCTTCTGATTTTTTGCACTTGGATAAAATTAAAAGACCATGAGCCACTGCTCAAATCTATGTGATCAAGACCTACACTGACAGACTGATGTCACTGTGACAAATGTCCAGTTACTTACCAGGAACGTGTTTCCACAATGCCCACACACGACCCTTGTACCTTCTGGTTGGACTGGCAATGCAGGTTGAGCTGGTTGTTCTTCAGAAATAAGCATTACTGGGCCAAGGTTAATTATGCGTCTACTGTGGGGAGAGAAAGGAAACAACTTTATTATCCCACAAATGGACTGAAGCCAAAACCTGTAAATATATGGCCAAAAACATCGAATATAGCATTGAAAATAGATTAAATTTGTTTTATAAATTGTCTGGATTGGAAGCCAAATTCACAGAAAGTAGCAATCATCAATATCTCAAAAGCAAAAAAAAAAAAAAAGAAAAGAAAAATGACGCTTTTTAATATTTTTGATTGAAACCATATATCATGGTGTTGGTTCCTAATCAATGACCTTGGGAACCATTTAACTGCCTTTTTCAAGTTCTTATAAGTTCAAATCAGAAAACAGTTTTTATCATTCTCTAGGAACACAAATTGAGTTTTGTAGAAAACTATAAAAGTTAAAATATTCTACTTCAACAGATATGTGGCGTGCCATGAAGGTATCAAAGTACTGAGTCACAACCAAATTTCTCTGAGTAGGTTGGTATTCCTTGATGTCTATTTAATCACAGTTGGACAAAAAGGAAAATAAGAAGGCTCTTTCAATTCTCTCTTTCAAGGCCATCAGATGGGGTTGCAAATGATTCATATAAAGATCAAAAGCCAGAAATCACAGAAAAAACACAGTTAAGTCTTGATATGTGCCAGTCCTATCTGGGCACATCTATAATGGCATTTGGTATGGGCAAATAGCTCCAGAATTTACTGCATAGAGTATATTCAGCAAAGACTAGCATAGCACATAGTAAGGTACACAATGATAACTAAAATGCTTCCAGATTAAGATGAATTACACCAAAGGTAAACTAGGTGGTTACTTTTATTTTTTCCCCTTTGGAACATCTTTATTTAAGCTGATCCTAATCACTTCATATATACATTAAAGTTGGGTGTCACCTCCCTTCACTGATGTAACAGAGGTCTGAAGTGGCTTGCAAATAGCGTTCTTAGAAACACCTTTATTACAACTATTTAAACATTGGACTACACGCATTACAGAATGGGTTTATTCCGTTCACTCATATACCACCAGTCTCAACACAGGTTGCAACTAGAGATCTCATAAACATCCTTATTAAAAGTGTTCCTAATAACGTCACTATATACATAACAATGGAGATAAGTGGTTATTTTTAAATAAGTTTAACGAGTTGCTAGTTTATTACACTGCATTAAGTACTGACATAACATCAAGAAAACTTTCATTGCTCATTCAAGAATATTATAACTTACAAATATTTGTGACCATGAATTTCAAACTAATCATATCATTCCTTTAACAAAGGAAAAGTAAAAATCTAGCTCCTGTAATTACTTTGAGGACAAAGACTCTATTTAGAAGAAAGCTGGGCACATAATGAGCCTTTAATAAATATTTGTTGAATGAACAAATGAATGAATAAATGAATGAATCTTTATCTCTTACCAGTTAGGTCTCGGACATCCTATTCGCCGAGATGTGTCCTTACAAATGAGGAGACAATTACAAGGGCATCTAACATATTTCTTCCCTGTTGGGGGGTTTTTGATTGGCTAGATAAGGGAAGAAAATGCAAACACAGCAAATTAACCAAAGGACAGATTGCCAAAGCTTGTTTATGTATAAAAAGGAAATGATTCCTTAAAAACTTAGGCTCCCCATAGTGCTACCAAAGTACAGGTTAAGGAAAAGTACATCATAAGTAGTTTTAATCAGCTCAGATATTGGCAAGCACTCTGTGAAGTTTGGGGGCTGCAGAGATTCAGTTGTGAAGGGCATATTTCAAAGTTAGCTTGCACTGCCCTTTCAATATGAGAAGAAAATTTAAGTGCACAGCAAGCAATGTTTTCCCTTAAAAGTTTTAGGACAAGACAAAGTCATCTAGCTGTCCCTCCAGGTGCAAACATTCACTAAAGTTTCTTGCATCTGGTTGGAAAAAGCAAGCTCATTAAGAATAGTGGGCAAAGAGGAGTATATGATAACTTTGAGCTTCACTGCCTAGAATATAAGAAGTGACTAATTTTATTACCTTTTAACTTAAGAACAAAAAAACTTGCAATAACTCTTAATGCTAACATCTTTTTAACATCACAGTAAATTTAAAAGCAAGAATAAACACCAAAGACTCCTTTCAACACGAGGAATCAGGCCTGTTAAAGTAAATAACCTATGAAGCAATGAAAGGACTAGAACATCACTCTCCTGGGCATGCCTGTCAAAAATGTACAACCTGAATCTAGTCATGAGGGAATACCAGACAAACCCAAGCTGAGGAACATTCTACAAAACACATTGCCTGTGCTTTTTGAAAATGTCAAGGCAATACAAGACAAAGAAAGACTACATTTCAGACTAAGAGAAATTAAAGAGACATGACATCAAAACAACATGTAATTCTGGATTCACTCCTGGACCATTTTTTTTTTTTTCCCTACTGGAACCACTGAGCAAATATGAGTTAGGTCAAAAGATCAGACAACAGCATTGCACTGATGTTAATTTTCTGCATTTGATAACTGTACTATGACCGTATAAGTGAATGTCCTTTTTTGTTTTTTAAAGAAATGCACACTAAAATGTGTAGGGGTCTGCAAACCTGTAGCGCCATGTCTGCAATTACCTTAAAAGGTTCTAAAACAAGATGATTATTTGTTTATTTAAAGAGAGAAAGCAAATGTGACAAAATAGTAAAATATTTGGGGAATGTGGTTACAGGATGTGTGGAAATTCTCTGTGCATAATATGTACTGTTATTTTTGTAACTTTTCTATAGATCTGTAACATATTTCAGAAAAAGATTTAAAAATTTAAGGAAACAAAATTTGTTTGTTAGAAATATATAGAAGTTAGCAATAAGTCATCAACAATATCTTAAACTATATTACAGATAAAATCTGAATATCTAAAATTTATAAACATCCAGAATGTGTTACTATCCAATCTAAAACATCAAGAAAACCAGAACTTGCGTTAATTTATGTGCATCCAAATTTTACCATTAAATAAATGTGTACTTAGCAAAAGACAAGCTTTTTAAATTAATTTTTTTAGTGCTTCTTTATTTTTTGAGAGAGACAGAGCATGAGCAGTGGAGGCGCAGAGAGAGAGGGAGACAGAATCTGGAGCAGCTCCAGGCTCTTAGCGGTCATGACAGCACAGAACCCAATGTGGGACTTGAACTCAAGGACTTCAAGATCATGCCCTGAGCTGAATTCAGCCACTTAACTGACTGAGCCACCCAGGCTCCCCAACAAGCTTGTTAATTTTTTTCCCCACCTTACTTCTAGACCTCAGGTCCCTCATTTACAAAACAAGGTGACTGAACTGGACAATTTTAAGCACTGATCCTTAGTGCCAGCTCATGGCTTGTCATGTCTAACCTGCAGGGAAATGGGGGTGCAAATGGCACTGTCTTGATGCCTAAGTTTTAATATTCTTACTTAGCAAAATGAACTTGTGTGTGCCAGGTGCAGTCCTGGGCACTTTGCCCCTGTAAACCCAAGAGCAGCCCTATTAGGTAGGTATTATTATTATACTACTCTACATGAGGAAACCACAGTATGGAGAAGATAAATCCCAAGGATAGATATCTGTCAAGTGGCAGAGCTAGGATTCAAACCCCAGTCCCTCCAGTCCTCCAGATCTCAGACTCCTTCCTAATCAATCACACAGCCAATTAGCTCCACTCTTCCTCCAGGACTTCTCAACTTTTCCATTAACTTGCCCTAGTAACTGCTTCTTTCTTAACCTTAAATTACGTATTCTCTAAGTCTTGTTAAAATGTGTCCATATTTTCTCTCCTCTCAGTCTCTACCTCCTTTCCCAATTCTAGCTACTGAAATGAGGACTTCGTTAGCCTTGTTTTTTTTCCTGTATTGTTTTGTTATTTCATTTTTTGAATCTCCTCAGGAATATCAGGTTCCTATCAGAGGCGGATGCCCAGGAGAACGGACACACTGATACCCTGTTTTAGGTGACATGAGGAGAATGCACCACAGTGAAACTGAGCAGGGAATGGTGACAGTGAATAGAGGGAGTGGCTCTGTTGGACCCTGGTCCATTTATCTGTTCTTTCCAACCTAGAATTTCTCCAGAGTTGCTGGTTGCCTAATACCTCTCCATTCATAAATTTAAGATCAAATTACATTGCAAACATTGGCAAGTCATCTCTTAAAGCACTCCTTACACACATTTTCCCCCTTCTTTTCTTCCCCTGTAATATTGCTGACTCCACACAAGGCAATCTAATTAGATACTATTCATTTTCTCTAGGATACTGACAGTTATTTACATTTCTTTACTTAACAGGAGTAATAATGATATAAAAATGTCAGCACAATTTTCTTTATGTCCAGAAGTAGTTTATTTGTACCCAAATCCTACTGTTCTGGTATAATGAACTCATCACTTCTAAGTAGCCAGATTGAGGCCTTTGACTAAATCCATAGTCTGCTCTGTTTACTTCCTAGGGTAAATATAAAGCTTTAAAACTTTTTTTCTACTCATTAAAAGAACAAAAGTTTGTGTGGGTGGTGGAATAAGAGAAAAACTCAACAGCAACATCAAATCCAAAGAAACCTTTAAGTTACTGATATTTTTTTAATTGCCACCTATGTCTAACTCTTATTCGGTTGCTAACTCTAACATGAGCACTCATGAGGTTAATGCTAAGTTTGCTAGTGACTGTTCAACTTGAAAAGGAAACAGCTGGGTTTTTTAGGTATCACCTCTATTTACACAATAAAGTTCATCTCCAAATGATGTCCCTTATAAAAATATAAATTTACAATGAAACATATTGCTTCAAGACTCAAGGTTTTATTTAATGACGTTTCCATAAAACATGTAATGCTCAGTATGCATGTTTTATGGTTCTTAGAGACACAATAAGGCCTGGCTGACTTTTTTTTAGACTTTTCTAAAAAGGAAAAATATGTAAATACCAACAATTAAATTAATATTTAATTGAAGACCTCGAGAGAGGTTGAAATTTTATTTTTTAGGATAATTTATTGTTAAACTGGCTTACATACAACACCCAGTGCGCATCCCAACAAAGATTGAAATTTTAAAAATAAAGCATAACTATGAAAGTAGGAATATATTTAATCTAACCAGTATACACTTTACCAGTTCATTACTTGAAATCGTAAAAATTTTACTTAAAATTTAGTTGCTTTTCTGAAGGTTCATTTAAAACAGAAGCAATATACCCTTCAAGTTTTTTGAACATATCACTAAATTACTAACCAGCAAATAGAATAAAATATCAAGCTATTTATAAATACTTTGGCACAGATATCAATAATACATGCATAATCTTAAGTTCAGAAAAACCATATAGGCATCCTATAGACATAGAGCAAATTTAAACAATTTTTCACATAGTAAGTACAAAGTCCACATTTGAAGTGAACTTTGGTATGTCCTCATTTTTGTGAACATCAAAATGGATTCAGTTGTGATGTTGATAGACACTGAGGATAATGATAAGTAACTGTGTAGGGTTAGTCTCATGTTAGAAAGTAAGGAGCCAAATGGCATTATGCTTAAATTCACCATGAAATCTTCATAAAGGAATTAACTTTAAATACCTGGAGACATCCTTGTATGATAAAGGAGGAGTAGAGAGAAGAAAGAAAGGATGAGAAAATATAGCCATATCTGTATCCAGCCCACATCTACCTTTAAGTAACATTAGTAGAGTACTTCCTTTAGAGAGATGTCAGACAACAATTTATGCTTTATTAATGGAAATCCCCACTTACCGTAGCTTCATTGCAAACCGTGCACTTAACCACATGCTGGTGAAGCTTGCCATCCAAGTTGATGAGAGACTGGCACACACGGCAGTTAATTACTGGAATACCAGTGGCATCAGGACTGGCAATGGCTGTATATGGAGGGGGGAGTTCCGCTGGAAAGAGTATCAGGCACTGAATCAGAGCCAGTGGTATTATGGAGGGTTTGAGTATATAAGCAATGGAAGTAAAGCATAAACTATCAAAAAGGTTCTTATTTTTATATTTACGTTTTTAAAGCTAGCCAACTTATCCTGGTTTCTGAGCACAAACACACATGGGCCTATACTGTGAAGAAGAATAATTCTTAACTCCAATAAAATCCAAATCATGCTTGCCTCAGCCTATCCAAATGATCCAGTTTTCTCTTACTAACCTATACTCAACAATACCCACTCTGTTCCCACATAAACTCATAGAGCTTATAATAGGAAAGTGATGATTCATGCCTAAAGTAAGAATCTTACAACTAACGATCTGATTACCAAGAAAGAGAAATAGTCAATGTGAGCAAAGTTTTAAAATCACTGATACAGGGGCGCCTGGCTGGCTTAGTTGGTTAAGCGTCCGACTTTCGCTTAGGTCATGATCTCGCGGTTCATGGGTTCGAGCCCCGCGTCGGGCTCTGTGCTGACTGCCAGCTCAGAGCCTGGAGCCTGTTTCAGAGTCTGTGATTCCCTCTCTCTCTGTCCCTCCCCTGCTCACGTTGTCTTTGTCTCTCTCTCTCTCTCTCCTAGAAATAAAACAAAACATTAAAAAAATAAAAAATAAAATCACTGATACATACACATAAATTGCAGTTGCCATGCGGTGTTTATAAAGGGACCACTATACAACTGCCGGCCGTGACAAGAACAAAATAGTTTTGGTGGCGGTTAAGGAGACACGAAAGTGAACCTAGGAAAACTGAACTTACCAACATGGAACAAAGACAGTTGGAATGGAACAAGGCTAATTTCATATATAAAACAAAAATACACTTAACATTTTTTATCTCAAATTTTTAACATTAAAAATCTAGGAAATGTGCTTAAGGATTTATGGGTAAAAAAATATGTCTGGAACTTAGTTTAAATGCCCTAAGAAAAAAAATGGATTAATAGATGAAACAAGATTAGCAAAATGTTGATAATGAGTAAAAATATAATAACATAGAAGGTCATTTTGTTCTATATTTGTGTGTGTTTGAAATTTCCCAGAATACGTGCACAAGCATGCACACGCGCGCACACACACACACACACACACACACACACACACACTCATACAGTTTTTTAAGAGTCCTAAGTTTGCCTGATTGGACAAAGGGTAGGGCCCTAATTTCAGAACCATGCTCATCTACCAGAAGTATATATTTGTTGTAGAAGTTTAAGAAAAAGAATCTAGACATAACTACTCTCAAATGGGATTTCTAAAGGGGACTGCCTAACCCCACTCTGTAGCTACCTCAATTATAGGCATAGGAGGCCCTTTTAAGGAAAGATATTGTCTTAGGAAATCTAGAAAGAGCTGTACCTCAACCCATAATTCATATTTGAAGCCCCACTAAAGAGAACTGATATTTCAAGAGGCTTCTGTGATACATAAAATACAAATGCAGGGGCGCCTGGGTGGCTTAGTCGGTTAAGCGTCCGACTTTCGCTCAGGTCATGATCTCGCGGTTCGTGGGTTCGAGCCCCGCGTTGGGCTCTGTGCTGACTGCCAACTCAGAGCCTGGAGTCTGTTTCAGTCTGTGACTCCCTCTCTCTCTGACCCTCCCCAGCTCACGCTGTCTCTCTCTCTCTCTCCTAGAAATAAAAAAAATAAAATAAAATAATAAAATAAATAAAATAAAATACAAATGCAATAGCTAATCATGAAAAGAGCCATTTTTGAAAGAGATTTTCTATCCACTGAATCAGATTCTAAACTCTGTGGTATTTTTTAAAGCATAGAACACTATGGTATGTTTAAAATCCACACATTACCACCTGGCATCCTTGAGGCGTATCATATAGATGTTTTTAAACTAGCAGATGATTAGCAGTAAATGTTATTCATTTAAAGGATTCATAATAAGCTGAGTTTCTGCAGCAGTCAAGGCTCTCAAAAGGGCTACTTTGAAATGACAATACATTTCTGGGAGGCTTATGCCAGAACACTGCCAATTACTGAACTCAAAAAGAAGCTATAGATGTCTTAAATTATATAAAAAAAAAAAAAAAAACTAAATCCTTGAAAGAATTTGAGGTTGATCCAGAGTGACTTGCAAGGCATTAATCAAGAAAAAACAGGTTAAAGGAACAATGAGTCAACCATATACATTGGGGCCCTTGCGACTTGCAGATTGTTTTATCAGATCTCAACAGAGAAGACATTGGCCTGGGAAAATGAACACATACCTCACTAGAAATTCTAGACTTACTGCCTGATGCTTAATAATATTGTTTTTAATAATTATTGGCACTATTAATAAAAGCAATTTCCTCTCTTGCCTTTTTTTTTTTTTTTTTTTTTTTTTGTTAGAAAGTTCTCCCACGATTCCAGGTCTCCATCTTATGCAGTAAGACAGAACAAATTCAGGGGCGCCTGGGTGGCTTAGTCGGTTAAGCGTCCGACTTTCGCTTAGGTCATGATCTTGCGGTTCGTGGGTTCGAGCCCCGCGTCGGGGTCTGTGCTGACTGCTGGCTCAGAACCTGGAGCCTATTTCAGAGTCTGTATCTCCCTCTCTCTCTGACCCTCCCCTGCTCACGCTGTCTCTCTCTCTCTCCTAGAAATAAATAAAAAAATATATATATTTAAAAAAAAAGAAAAGAAATTCAAAGACAAGAAAATTTCCCTTGTGTACTGAGGGAGAGGGAGGTGGTTACACATGAAAAGCTAGAGAAGCCCATCTACTCCAATAGAGTAAGGGCTTTGCTCAAAGGAATCTAAAAATCCCAATGAGGAACCTTAAAAAAGCATCTAAAGTGCATCACAGTCAACAAAACCCTATGACTGGTTTCTCTAAGATTTGTACTACCTAATTTTTTTTTTTAATATTTTTATTTATTCCTAGGAGAGAGAGAGACAGCGTGAGCAGGGGAGGGTCAGAGAGAGAGGGAGATACAGACTCTGAAATAGGCTCCAGGTTCTGAGCTGGCAGTCAGCACAGAGCCCGACGCGGGGCTCGAACCCATGAACCGCAAGATCATGACCTAAGCGAAAGTCGGACGCTTAACCGACTAAGCCATCCAGGCGCCCCGTACTACGTAATTTTTAACTTGTTAGAAAAAGAAAGCTTCCAGTTATGACACAAAGACATTTGAATCTTTTGGAGGCTTGAGAAGTGGCGAGAGGGGAAAAGAAGAACAAGCAAGAAATCAGAAATTTCAAATGGGAGAGGCAGTAAGCTCTGTGAGGACAGAGGCATTCTGGCTTGTTCGGGACTGATTCACCAGCACTTGCATAGTGTCTGGTCTAGGACGGATGCTCACTGAATATTCACTGGATGGATAGATGGATGGATGGATGGATGGAAGGAAGGGTGAGTGAATCACTGAAATTTATCAGACACATCTATTTCTCTTGGGAAAATGACACTAAGTATATTACTGCTCTCCTTGAAGAGGAGCTGGAGTGCTAACACATGAATAAGCTTCACTAAAAAAAAAAGGGTCTCTCCTATATAGAATACCCTCCATATACTGACAGAGGTGAAGTAGTCCGGGGACACTGGCCTGGCCCACCAGATAGATGGAATCAATCTAAGAGAGCAACAGAGTGACAGATGCTGCAGCCTAATTGCTCCGCGGAACAGAGCTTCCAGGTCTATCGTCTCGATCTTCTGTCCATTACTTCAGCTCTAAGCGGATACAGAGATATGTCCTGTACTTTAGCCCCAAGAAAACCTTCACCTATAACTCCATCTCCTTTTGTAAGGGACTTTTTAAGTCCAGTTAAAAGTTAATAAACCTGCAGTAACTGGCAATTTAGTTTTCATCGTGGAAGAGTCTTGTTATTCATTTATTTATTTTTAAGTTTATTTATTTTTGAGAGAGACAGAGAGAACACAAGCAGTGGGGGAGAAGAGAGAGAGAAAGGGAGACACAGAATTCGAAGCAGGCTCCAGGCTCTGACCTGTCATCACAGAGTCCGATGTGGGCTCGAACTCATGAACCATGAGGTCATGACTTAAGCTGAAGTCAGACACTCAACTGACTGAGCCACCCAGGTGTCCCTGAAGTCTTGTTATTTAAACAATGATCATTTTCTCTATGGGAGTTGCCTCAGTGAAAAACGTTTGTTTTTTTTTTTAACTCCATGTGAGCAGTATTTGTTAGACCAGTACTCCCCAACCCTGAAACACTTGAAAATTCCAGAATTGTACCATGTTAGAAATTCAAGCAATATTAGGAATTACACTGTCTAATTTCTTCAGCTTATGGGAGAGAAAACCGCAGCCTAGAGATTCTAACTTTTGAGTAGATTTTTATACAGCTTTCAGAAAAGTCAGGAGCTGACTTCTCTCCCAGAGGTTTCTCCAAGATAACAGTTGTCTCTTTTGCTCAATAATTTCATATAAGCAGAGAACGTAAGGACTACTGAGGATTCTGTAGAAACATCTAGATAAGAATCAGATCTGAACTAAAGGGAAGGTAGAGAAGGAGAGGGAAGACAGGGAAAGTAAAAACTAGAACAGAGTATAAAAAGGAATCCATTCATAATAAAAACTTCATAGAAAAACTGAGACTCGTAAAAGAGACGGTATCAAAGAATATGGATCACAAGGCATATGTAATAGTCCTCTTGAAACACTCCAAAGGAACCATTATTATTCTGTAAACCCACAGGTGATCAAGTTACATTTTCCCATCATACACACAGACCTAATTTATCTATTTTATGCCAAACAAACCCTCCGTCCTGCTAATTTATCTTAGTGTATTCATCCACACTTCATTTTTTTTTTTTTTACCAGATATATCCTCCAGCATTTTAAAAGTTGAAATTGTTTTGCTGGATTACTCTGACCTTTTATAGTTCAGTTATTCCTTTTATAAGCCTCTTCAATGGCAATATTTTCTGGCTTAATTCACTTACTTCACTAATGCACTCTTTATATTCAGCCCTTCGGGCCCTTAAACAAAGATGTGGT